GGCCGGTGCTGGTGGCGCAGGGAGGCGGGCCTTACCTTGGTGCCGGTGCTGGTGGGGGACGGAGAGAACGGAGAAGGCTTGCTCTGCTGGGTCTGTGGGGGTCAAAGAGGGGGAGGGAGTGAGCAACCGGGCAAGCAGGGGCTCTGCTGCCATGGCTCAAACCCCCCCTCCCACGCACCATGAATTCCTGCCCCATGTTTCTCACCTGGTGATTTGTGTCAGGTCCATTTCTTTCTGTATCTATAACCAAAGAAGAGAAGCTCATCACAAAAGCGACCCAGGGAGACTTCCTTCCTAGACCCACATCCCTAGCCCCACGGAACCCCCATGGAGCCTGCTGGGCCCACTCTGATTTTTCTCCAGGATTGCCTGCAGTGTGCTCATCTCCTCTCCAGCCTTGATCCATGAAGCCCTCAAAAGTAACTTCTCCAACTCTGGGCATGGTAAGCCGAATACCCAGCAAATCTTGCTTGTGGAATGATACCGCTATTCTGGGCTAGGGGGCAGGTCATGGGGTAGAAGGGGGTCCCCGTGCCTTGAGGGCCCCTTGTTCCCACGTCCCCTGAAGCAAGGGGGCCCGGAGGCCTGGCTACCTGTGTGCTCTTCTTGCAGCTCCAGCCGTGCCTTCTCCAGCTCCAGGGGCTTAGACATTCTTACTTCTGGAAGAGAGGAGGAGGAGGGGGCAAGCGGGGAGGGGGGGGAGAGGGGGGCAGAGAGAGGGGGGCAGCCATTGAGATGATGGGAAAGGCCTGGGACAGGCTACACAGAACAACGCGGAGAGCAAGGCCTGCCCACCAGGACACCACTCTGTGGAATCCTCGCATGCTCCAATTAAAAGAATCCCCAAGACCACCGCCTTTGCCCCCAAAGCCTCTCTTTGTTTTGGGCGCCCAGAATGGCCCAGCCCAAAGGAGCCTTTTTACGAGATGCACAGAGATCTGCACCCTTAGCACTTCCCCAGCAATTCTAGCACGAGGATTGGGGAAAATTTCCTGTCATCACTTGGCTTTGCTGTTAACCAAAACAGAGACTGTGGTCAAGAAATGAGAAGAGGACCGAGACGGTGACGGAACCAGGGGGGAGGCACCAAAGCCAGGCTGGCGGCAGGTTTCTGGTCTCGGGCTGTGAACGCTGGACAGCAAAGGGAGTGGCGGGAGCAGACCCAACTGCTGTGGCCATATCCCGAGTACAAGGGAGCAGGAAAAGGAGGTGACCAGGCAACAGGCGGGACCGACACCATCCAGGAAGCCACAGCGCCTGCCCTGACCTTCCCGTGAGTGATGGG